CTTTTATCTTCCCACTTGGCCCAATTTCCATTACTCTTAGCAATGTTGGAGCCTTAGTTAATCTTCCACCCCTGGGCGATACCATTTCTCCTACCATTTTGGTTACTGCTGCTGCCTTTGTTCGTTATTCTCAGCTATCTTTTATAGAGGTATGGCTTCCCTTCAATTACAGTTGAGGAATGGTGCATCTCCTACTGGTAGTAGGCCTCTTTGGCTCTCTCAATTGTGTTTGAGAGCATATTTTCCACAACTTGGTGCTCCATCAGCTCCTCCTAGGTCGGTCAGTTGTTACGGGCTAGTCATCAACCAATTGAGCCCTATTAATATGTCTAATAGGGATGTTTTCACATTCTTTTATAACTTAAATTCAATCTCTACCTTTTTTCCTTTCTCTATTCACTCAGTTTCGATTTACGTGCAACCTCCTTTTACTATGGATGATGTGAGCACCTTTTTTGCCTATTTGGGCTCAATATTTGATTGGGAAATAATTGTTCCATGACATCTTAACTGGAACAAATGTAAGGTAGGTGTTGAGATATATGCTCCCCAATTGTTGCTCGTCAGCTTGGTTTTGGCCAAACGTGGCATGTTCCTCCTGTTTTTCCAAGTATCTGACCGAATGTTTTCACACCATCAATAAAACAAAGGTATAGGCCATTGATGCTCTCAATACCCTTTTCACTTTATATGGTCCTTCCCAATTGGGTGACCATTTACCATACTTTGGATCTTTGCTATCCAAAGGGAGTATCGTCTTCCAAACCAAATAGCCCAAGCTAAAACACTTGCCTATAACTTTTTTGTTGAAGAACTTAGCCATTTTTCGTTTTTGAACCAGCAATCTATCTAGGATGTCCAACTTTAACTCGTCTAATTCCAATAAATTTTGGGCTAGTGATTCTGCATACTCGCCATCACTTAAATTATTCTGTAAGCCTATTATAATCGATTGTACATTGATTTCCATAAGCAACACAGCCTCTTGTCCATAAGTAAGTTGAAAATAAGTTACTTTAGTACTTGAACGTGGTGACTTCCTGTAAGCCCATAAAGCTTTATTTAAACATTTATGCCAATTTCTGGCATTTTCATTTATCATTTTCTTTATGATATTTTTTAGAATCTTATTAGAAGATTCTGTCCATTAGATTGAGCGTAATAAGGTGTGGAGTTTACTAGCTTAACTCCAAACTCGTTCAAGAATTCCTTCACTTGATCTCCATTTAAAGAAGTTCTATGATCCATCATTAGAGTTTGTGGTATCCTAAATCTATAAATAATGTAGTC